TTTGTTGCCTCGTCAACAAAGAAATAGAACTCCCCTTTCTTCACAACTGACAATAAAATGAGATCTGTAACTGGGTCTTTGACACTCCTCTCAATCAGCTGTAGGTAGGTAAGGTTTTCTTGAGTGTTTGGGTCAAAGAAACCCTTGGTGTCATCATCTGGATCTGATAAAATCTGGTTCATTTCTTCATCAAAATAACCTCTTTGGTATGCCACTTGTACAGGCACTCTGTGACTGTGAACCGGATCAATGATTCCTCCTGTTGCAATTTGGGCTTCAAGAAGACGGATACCGTGATCCTTTACAATAAGGTCTTTCTTTAAGGCCTGGAACAGAGAGATTGTGTTTTCGGTGTAGGGATCTTTGTATCCTGTAACTGCTCGTTCTGCCGAAAGCAGTTTGTTCTTCCATTCACTTCCAACCACTCCTTGAGCTGCAGCTTCTTCTACAGAAAGTTTCTTGTTCTTTACTGGGTCAATGATGAACCCAGTAGCTGCTTGAGCTTCCAGCAGAACTAGGGATGTACCAGGTGTGAGCAGGCGTCGTTTCTTGGCTTCATAGATGCTGATAACTTCTTTTGTAGATTCAACTCTTACACCCGCTATACAGTTTGTAGCTCCGAGGTACTTCTGAATGGACTCCATTTTAGCCACACTTTCTTCAGTTACTTCACCGTGTATTATTTGGCTAAAAAGCTCCTTGGAGATAATTTTTGACTCATATAACTCACTGGCTGATACCTGCTTTCTTAGTCCTTTAAACTTTCTTTCTTTGGATGATATTTCTGTGATGATAACCGTGAGTATTTCAATGATTTCTTCTATTTTCATGGTTCCTGTTTTGTATTGTTGTATCAGCTGTTCCCTCTTCTCTTTTGAAATGTATTCAGAGAGCAACATCTCCCACACTGTGACTTCTTTGTTTTTGAATTTCCCCACATTCATGGTAACTGTCTTGTTTTTGAAAGCTAGCTCCACTTGCTCATCAGTGTGAAACACCTTGCAATCCTCTTTGTACAGCGGCACTAGAAGTAGCCCAGTTTTTGAATCTTTTTCACACCGACCTATCAGTTGCAGGTAGGACAGATTTTCATTGGTATTAGGGTCAAAGAAACCCTTCACTTCATCAGTGGGGTTCAGCAGGATTTTATGAGTTTCTTCATCAAGATATCCCCTTTTAATAGCAACATGAGTTGGAAGTCTGTGACTTTGATTTGCGTCAATGATTCCTCCAGTTGCCATCTGTGCATCAAGAAGCCGCAGGCCATCATTTCTTTGTATAAGTTCTTCTTTCATGGCTTCAAACAGGGATATTGTTGCATCGGTGTATGGATTTTTGTATCCAATAGCAGCACGTTCAGCTAAAAGAAGTTGCTCGTGTATATCTGGTCCAATTACGTCCTCCTTTGCAGCTTCATCCACAGAATAGAATTTGTTGTTGAGAGGATCAATGATCCATCCTGTTGCAGACTGTGCTTCAAGCAGTACAAGTGCAATACCAGGAGTCAACAGACCTTCTTGTTTTGCTTGGTATATGCTCATTAATTTCTGGGTTGGATAAACTTTGATTCCTGCAATACTTCCTGTTCCCTTCAGGTATCTTCTCACAGGTTTGCTTTGGACTGTTGCATCAAAGCTGAGTGTTCCTTCTTCAATCTGTTTGAATGTGTTGCCATCAATGATGTCAGAATCCAAGAGTTGTTGCGCAGAGACATGATTTCTCAGGCCCATCACTTTCAGACTTTCACTCTTCTCTAGCTTCTCAATTGTGGAGAGCACTAATGTTATTATTGTTTGGATGTTGATCTGTTTTGTTCTATATTTTTCAATGAACTCCAGTAGCTGATCTTCAGTGAAGAAACGAGAATGAATCAAGTCCCAAAGAGAAACTGATTTTCCTGAAAACCGTCCCACACTAACGCTTACCAGTGTCTTTTGAAACTCTTGCTTTATTTCTGTGACAGTATATGTTTTTTCCTTAGATGCTGTTGCCTTTGGTTTGTCATTCAGTGGCAGAAGGAAGAGTCCAGTTTCTTTGTCTTTCACACATCTGTTCAACATTTCCATGTATGTCAGGTTTTCTTGGGTCTTTGGGTCAAAAAAGCCCTTTGTGTCATCAGTTGGATCTTTCAAGATTTGATTGAGTTCTGCATCAAAATATCCTTTCTTGTATGCAACCTCAGGAGGCAAGTGAAGACACTTCAAGGGATCAATGACACCACCTGTAGCTATTTGGGCCTCAAGTAAGCGAAGGCCATGCTGCTTGACGATGAGATCCTTTTTCAGTGCTTGGAATAATGAGATCTTTTGACCTGTGTATGGATCTGTGTAACCAGTGACAGCCCTCTCCGCAGACAGAAGCTTTTCATACATCTGTGGCCCAATCACATTATCTCTTAGAGCTTCTTCCACTGTAAGTTTTTTGTTCTTCAGGGGATCTATAATAAATCCTGTAGCAGCTTGTGCTTCAAGGAGACAAAGGGCAGTTCCGGGTGTAAGAATGCCACTTTTCTGTGCCTCATAGATGCTTATTTTTTTATTGGATGGCTGTAGTATCATCCCAGCAACACAATTTGTTCCTTGCAAGTAGGCTCTCACGCTGTCTATCTTCATCACATCGGTGCTTGACATCTTTCCATCAATCAAACTGTTGTATATCTTTTCATCCACAATTTTGAGATCCAGAAGGTCCACAATGGAAATCTTTCCTCTGAGACCTTCAAAGTTCAGATCTGCTTGTTGTTTTATCTCCTTACTCTCTATGATCTTTATGATGATTACTATAAGTTCTTCAATTGTGATTTTCCTGGACTTGAAGAGCTTGAAGAACTCTTGCCGTTTTTCTTCTGATAAATATTCAGAATTGATAAGATCCCACAGTGTTGTATGTCTGCCTTTGAATCTGCCATACTTGACAGTAACTTCTGTTTTTTGGAACACCTCCCTCATGTTATCATCTATGTTAATTTTCCTGCCCTTGCTTTTCAAAGGCAAGAGGCACAGGCCTGTGCTGGGATCTGTGACGCATCTGGCCAAGAGCTGCAGGTATGTCAGGTTCTCAAGGGTGTTAGGGTCAAAGAATCCTTTGGTGTCATCAGTTGGATCACTCAAAATCTGATTCATCTCCTCATTAAAATAACCCCTTTTGTAAGCCACATGAACAGGAATGCGGTGGCTGTTCACTGGGTCAATGATCCCACCGGTGGCAATTTGTGCCTCTAGAAGACGGATCCCATGCTCTTTAACGATCAGGTCTTTTTGCATTGCTTGGAACAAAGAGATTATCTGTCCATCATGTGGATCTTTGTACCCAGTAACTGCTCTTTCTGCTGATCGCAGCTTCTGGCAGACATCCGGCCCAATGATTCTTGCTTTGACAGCATTATCTACAGAAAACTTCCTATTTCCAATGGGGTCAATAATAAACCCTGTTGCTGCCTGGGCCTCCAGAAGAATCAAAGCAGTTCCTGGCATCAGCTTCCTATTTTGTTTTGCTTGGTAGATGGTTATGATCCGAGAATCTGGAAGCAGAATACCAGCAATGCTTCCTTTCCCTTGTAAGTACATATTTACATTTTCATCTTCTATAACATCCTTCACTGACATTTTTCCTTTCTGCAAGTCCTCCATCACTTCCTTGCTGATGATATCTGCCTCCATGAGCTGATTGGCTGTAACAGTTTCTCGAATACCTTCAAACGTAGCTTTTGTTTTAACAGACTTCTCAATTATTTCCAGAACCATCGTAGTGATCATCTTTATATTTAACGTCCCTTCTCTATATTTCTGAAATATGTCTTTCCTTTGTTGTTCGTTAAAGTACTCTGACATCAGTAGCTCCCACAGAGACACAGTCATTCCCATGTACTTCCCATATGTCACTTGAACCTGCTCCGTTTTAAAGGCTATTTTGGTTTGGTAATCAATAAAGCCAGAACTTATTCTGCCTGATTTATCCTGTAGAGGTAGGAGGCACAATCCAGTGGCAGGATCAATAACACACCTTTCCATCAGTTGGAGATAGGTCAGATTCTCCTCAGTGTTTGGGTCAAAAAACCCTTTTGTGTCATCTCCTGCATTTTCCAGTATGGCATTCATTTTCTCATTGAAATACCCTCTCTTAAACGCCATCGCTGTGGGAAGTCTGTGGCTGTTGATTGGGTCTATTATTCCACCCGTGGCAATTTGTGCTTCTAGCAGCCGGATTCCATGTTCCTTTACGATGAGATCTTTAGACATAGCCTGAAACAGGGATATGGTTTCTCCAGAATAAGGATCCTTGTATCCAGTCACTGCTCGCTCAGCAGAAAGCAGTTTTGCATGACATTCTGGGCCAATGATTTTGTGTCTGACAGCTTCTTCCACTGTGTATTTTTTATTTTGGACAGGATCAATCATGAAACCAGTCGCAGCTTGAGCTTCCAGTAGGACAAGTGCTGTTCCTGGCATAACTATGCCTTCCTTCATAGCCTGATAAATGCTCATTCTCTGATTGGAGGAGAGGATGGCGATGCCTGCAATGCTGCCTTTGCCTTCTAGGTATTCTTTCACTGTTTCCATAAGCATCACATCCTGTGTTGTGGTGTTCCCCTTTTGCAGGTCATCGTAAGTTTTCTTGTCAATGATCTTTGACTCAAAGAGCTCGCTGGAGGAAATGCCTTTGCGGAGACCTTTGAAAGCAATGCAGACAGGAAGCAGCATCAAGCCTGTGTTGGGCTCCACGGTGCATGTCTCTAAGAGATTATGATAGCAAAGATTTTCCTGCGTACTGGGATTGTAAAACACTTTCAGCTCAGACATCTGATTGTTGAGCAAACCTTTTTCATAGAGGCCCTTTTGGATTGCAGCATCGACTGAGATGTTGGTCTTCTCCACAGGATCAAAGATGCCCTTGGTGGATATCTGTGCCTCCAGCAGCCTTAAACCATAATCTCTGGGGATTAAATCTTTTTGCATCGCCTGGTAAACTGAAATAATTTT